TATACCATTTAATAAGCAGATGTAACATTTATTCATTTATTGAATACACAATTCAGATATTTAATGTCCCATTAGATAAACAAAAATTATATTCATAATATACAATATTTAAACAACTTTAAAAACTAATCTAAAATGTATAGAATTACCTCACTCTATAAAGATAAATAAATATAGAGCAAAATAAGTTTTGGGGTTTTTAAAGGTTGATATGTTTGGAAACCGTAGACGACTTTTATGATTTTAAAGCAGATGTCCTTCAGCTGAAACAACGTTTTTGTCCTCACTGCCGGCTTTTAGAGGACATTTCTTCCTCCTCAGGATTACCAGGGTCAAAAACAGCTTTGTGCTTGTGCCTGGTGTCCTCTCATGCCTGAACAGTTCAATTACTGCTGAAAGGAAGCAACACAGAAGGCAGTAAATAACTCTGCCGTTCACAGACACAATCAAACACCCACCTCTGTGACTCCTCGAAAAAAAGCTTCCTTTGCCAGTTTGGCGGGTCCATCGACAGTTTTGCCATCATCTTCCGGGCCCCAGCTGGCGCTGTAGATATCGATATGCTGTGGGTTCAGACTGAGAGACTGGGCCTCTACCATGTCAGTCACCTCTCCATCCAGCATACGCACACCTGCAGCAAGGTCCACATCAACAGATTCTCTTTTTACACATTTCTTTTTACAGGTCTCCAGTCACACAGGTTAAATCTACATTCACATTGACCCATTTCACTGGCAAAACTTTAATAACAAATCTAAAATCTCTAAACCTCAAATGTATTTATCAGATGTTAATATTGAATGAGAACAACAAAATACACAAATATTTTATCCAGAAATGTCTACACATTCTTGGGGAAGACAGACTTGACAGATGTTGAGCAGAAAGTCACTGACACCCTCCACAGGGACAGTAGCCATAAAAATGTCATTGCTAGGAAAGCTGGCTCGGCAGAGAGCTGCATATTAATGGAAGGTTGAGTGGAAAGAGGAAAGAGAAAGCTGCAGCATCAACACAAGTCTCCAGAGGATTGTATGGCAAACCCCATTTGAGAGGTTGTAGGTGAGTTACAATGTGTGGTCAATAGCTGGGGAAAGTTCTTACAGCACCATGAGCATAAAGGACCAATAACTCCTGCAGCCCAATGTGGAGCCATTTCTGTGGTCTAACCTGCTCTTTATTTTAGAACAAAAGGCCCAGAGTGTGGAGGAAAATTGGAAATGCTTAGAATCCAAGTTGCTTGAGGTCCATTCAGAATTTGCCAGTCATGGGCGGCCACGTCATCTGCTGGTGTAAGGTCAGCACAGCCGTCTTCCAGGACATTTTAGATATGCGTATTTCCATTGTCAGCAGGATGTGGTACTCACCACACTACTAAAGGTATCTGTGCCATCTTAAATGATGATGGTCATCACTGTGCTGTAGTGCCCAATAAAGAGCCACAGATAATAAGTGGAGTATTGTCAAGAAGATGATGAGGGGCAACAATACAAATGACCTGACGACTGCCATCAATGCAACCTGGGGTTCAGTAACACCATAGCAGAGCCACAGGCAGATCGTCATCTATGCCACGCCATGCTAATGCAGAAACCCTGCAAAGGAACACTCAGCAGTAAATCTGTTATGTCCTGTGATGTTCCCTACTGTGACTGAGTGATTGGTAAATTTGGATGGATGGTTTTCCATGATGAGCAGTCACACTTAGGAGGCGTCTAGGTGGGAATGACAGTAGATGAATTTGACCTTATTAGAAATATTGGCTCAGGTTAGCTAGTCCAATATAAAATAACATTATGTGCATCTAGGAAACTAAAACAGCCTTAATTTAATTAGATGACACTCAAATTGTAGTTAAATGCTGAAACTGTGGACTTGAGTGTCAAGATTTGGTCTGTGAAGTTTTGATTGTAATTACTTTTGATCCCTGATTAATGCTACATCATCAGAGGGACTGTTGATTGTTTATTCCATGGTTGTATGATTGAGAGAAACTGTGCTTAAGGTTTCTCCTATTTTTATATCTTAGTCATGAACATACATGGATTGGTTTTTTTTAAATTACAAGTGTTATAGGTGACTGTAAAAACTTCAACTTTTAAGGGGGGAGTTGTTAGGATTACTGATGATGTGCGAGTCTGTTAAACCCTAATAATACCTACCTTTTACATGTCTAAACTAATGTTTTCCCAAATAGTTTATTTAATTAAGACAGTTCCTCTAATAAGAAAAAAAAAAAAGTATTTTTATTATGTGCGTGGCAAATATTTGGGAATGGAATGAGTGCGGTGTCCTTCAACTAAGAACATAGTGTAATATGTTGATAAGGCTGGAGCCATGGATATCTCCTATTTTAGAAACATATATGATGATGTAATGATGTAGCAAACTGGAGTGGTATAAGATGCTTCTTTAACGGTGATTCGGGGCAACTTCAACGAGAAGTCAAAATCTGTTTTCCTGTGTCATGGTTATTTAATACATATACATTATGAAGTGTTATATTTTAACTACCACAAGCTGGTGGTGTACTATTCCCACCCAAATAGGGTATTCTATTTATTTATTTGTTATATTTATTTTGGTCACTTTTCTGGTCACTTCAGTTTATTCTTTGTCAGTATTTATTAACATAACTCAGGTCTCTTATGTCATTTTTCTTTAAACAATTCTGTTATGGTTAAAAAAAGTTGGTTAAATAAAGATTTAATTGGAAGTCTGTGTTTGTGTTCTTTATTAAAATTAAATAATTTAGCAATATCATAAAAAGTCCAGGCAGAGCTGCACATAAAATATGGTTTCAAATCTTTTCAATAATTATCGTTATCGAATATGCATTTTTTTTTTTTATCGATAAGCTTTTTTTCTATATCGTCCAGCCCTATATCCCAAATGATCTCTTCTTAGAGAAGAACCGGGGAGAGAAAGCTTCAAAATGTAAACACAGAGCTTTCCTTTATAATTGAAAATATTCCTGAGAACCTATATTTGTTCTCTTTCATTCTATATTTGTTCTCTTTCATTCTATATTTGTTCAAAATGAAAAAATAAAAGCTAGAAATGATATAAATCCATATAATGAAACTTTATGGTTTGAGTTACTTCTAATGAACAAAGTAAAGAAACTTTTTAAAGGACATTGACATTCACTGAGATTCACTTGTACATGAATAAATATAATATTCTTATAGTAACTGTGACCAAACTGCAATAGTTACAGCAAAACCATTATGAGCGATATTCTAACTGCAACATTACAGCTTACATGCAATGTTAAGGAAGCTTTGAAATGTCATATTATCTCAATGGTTGGATTTTTAAGGCAATTAATATCCTTTTTTGTATAGAGTTATGACCAAGATACTAAAAGTCAAAAATAGATGTGGGGCCTCAATGGTAACTGAGAAAAACTGAATACTGAGGTTAACTTTGGTTAAATGTACAAGATATCTTTATTGCAACAATATTATAGATTGATATTATACTACTACTGTGGGACTTAACTTAAAACTAATAAAAAATCAATAAGATTGTCAGTCTTTGGTCTAGAGGAAGGCCAAGTCAGTCAGTGCTAATAAAACATCAGAAAAAGAAAAAAAAAACTAATTATCTACAATATCTTACCATAAGAGTTGGACAAAAACATCTGCTAAAATAACAGAAAGGATTCACTTTGCAGAACTCCATAAACAAACCAGGTAACTCTGGAAAATGTGTCCCATTCATGCAGTAGATAAAAAAGAAGAAGATAACAGATGCAGAGCCCCGAGTAAAGAAAGAAAAAACAAAAACAGAGCAGCTTAAAACATAGCCTGCTATAATTGAAGGGCAAGGATGGATAATTTTAACTTGTTTTACAGACATGGGACCTGCAAACGTCATACTTTAACTATGAACTACTGTGCATGAAAAATATGTCCAGCAGCTATAGCCTGGTCAAACCAGGTCATGCAACTACAAATAAATCAAAGGCTTCCTGATATTTCTTGACATAATAGCTACTAGGAACATCTTTCAGTGAGCCCAAGGTCCATGGATCAAGGAGGAAACTGGCTTATATTTTTTGGCCAGGATATAACTCTGGTGACAGAAACTTAAAACATGTCCACTCTGAAGTTTGATGTGCATAAGAAGATATTTGTTATAAATGACGCACCATTTATGTGGGGGCTTTTAAAGACCATGTAGTATTGCTGGAAAGAATACAACTGTGAATCTGCTATGATTCCTTTTTTATGGAGCTAGCCATATAATTCAAACAGTACCTCTATTGATTTTTTTTTTGTGTGCTCGAGCTGGTTGTAAGAGAAATACAAAAAGAATGAGATCAGTTGGATCGTGAATAAACCATGTCCTCAGGAGTGGAGTACATCTGAGAGCAAGTTTTCATCAAACAGAGTAAAGAAAAAAAACGACCTGATAAAATTAGAGCAGTAAATTGGAGCAGAAACACTTTTAAATTAAGCAATACAAAAAAAAGGACAATGTTTATCAGCATGGTACATCTGGAGTAAATCTATAAGAAGATTTAAAGTTTTACTAGATGAGGGATATTAATATATACACATGTATACATACATATATGTATGTATATATCTACATATGTATATACATATATCTACAGTATCTATCAGTGGTATCCTAGTTTTCATGTTTAAATGGGAAAACTGTAATAAACAGTGATAATTCATTATGTGTCTGGGTTTGAATATCTGTAGCCTATAATTAATGTGGAAAGGTTTAAAATGTGAGGCCACAAAATGACGCAGCCATTCTGCAGAACATCGATACAGGTGCAGGGAAGAGAGTTCAACAATACATTACAGTAAATCAAACCGAACTGAAGCTATTGCATTGTGTCATTTCAGAAACTACATCTCAAGGCTGTTACTTCTTGCAAAACCAATACACTTACAGCAACCTGCCAATCCTCACAGCTGCAGTGATACTTAAAAAGATTTAGAGGCATGCTGTGCCTCAGAAATACACTGAAGAAGGTAAGTAGAAAAAAAAAATAGTGCTGCAGGATCACTATTTCATTTCAGATCTATTTACAAAAAAAGGACTCTGATTTAGTTGTGCAAAACCACATTGATTCAACCTTACCTCCAATCTTTGCATTGTAGGCCACACCGACTCCACACACCCCATTGTTTGCCACTGCCGCCACCTCTCCTGCACATCGGGTTCCATGCCTACAACAGAGGGAGAAAAGGAAACAAGAAATTCTTATCCTTGAAAATTTTGTCGAACCAAGTATGGCTCTCTTCTAGGTTACATGTAAGAAATTACTTTCACTATGCGGTGTGGTGAAGATGTACAGTGAGACAGTACAAACTGTTGGAGACAGGTTCTTGGCACCAATACTGTGAAACAAATTCACCAATGAGAGCAATCTATTGTGCATTATCTACAGCTTTGTAGCATTAGTACCCTCAAAAAGCCTCCAGCCTGTTGAAAAAGGAAGTCGTGAATTAGGTTTGCCACTTCTATTAAACACGACTCCCCCTGCGGTAAGAGCTAGCCTCACGGTATATGGATCCAAAAATAAGAGCCCTAGAAGGGCATAGTCCTTCCCAGCCAGATGGATACACAGGTTCAATGCCCTCCAAATCATGGCACAATCCCCCTGGACAACAGCCATTACTAGACAGGAAAGCTGGATCCAAGGTCGGTCAAGAAACATTCTGAGCAAGCAAAGCTCTGCTGAGACACTCTAGCTGACAAGCCAAACCAAATACCGAATAATCCAACAATATCTGAAGCCAACATCTTTGGCTGATAAAACACCCTCCATATAATGTCACAGTAAGGATGTTTGGTTTGTGCTTTAGCTTGTAGTCTGCCAGTGGGGACATTATCTGTTATCAATCAGCAATAACTTGTGCTGCCAGAGGTGAATTGTGAACTGTACAAAGAAAAGAGGAGTCTAAGGAGGTGTAATCGGAATCATCGGGGGCATCTAATTAGAATGAAGGCCTGTGGTTATATTAAGAGTCTCAGGATACTGACATAAGGTCAGAGTGCTGCAATTTATTTGCCATCCCCCTAAGTTTCCTTCAGACAGAGTGGTGAGCTGGGAGGGCGAAGGCTAATGTAAATGCCACAATCAAGAGCAGCGCCAGGATTCTAATATGTCCCTGGACTTTATTGGGTGGGGGACGAGGCCAGATTGAAGCATGAAGAGGAACTGAAATAAAAAAAAAAAAGGCTCTTTGTAGACTCAAAAAGCAAATGCATTCACACAGATTTGTCAACTGAATTTCCACTGAGCTTTATCACAACATTACTATTTGAGGTACTGTTTTTCTGCATCTATTTATTCTTTTTTTTTTTTCCCCAGATGGAGCCGATAAGCAGCGTTGATGGAAAAAAAAAAAGTGTTATTCAACAAGAATTTGATATCCAGTGTTTCTCCATTCAAGACAGCATTTATAATACCTTGCAAGTTAGAACAGATACAGTCATTGCCAATGATCCTGCCTGTTCTGTCACACAGGTTTTCCACTAAGTACTTAAGAAGCACAGGGAGAGATTCTCACAGATAAAATGGGCAGTTTCTCAGAAACCAAAGTATTTGTGAAAATAACCTTGAATCTAAAGGAGTCTAGGCTCAGTAAGATGAGACCCACATCCAGCTTTGTTTAGTAAGTGCTCTGCTAGAGCCAATACTTTCAAAAGTAAGTAAAAATCAGCATTTCATAATTAACAGATGGGATGATAGTAAATAAAAAAAAATTTAAAACATTTCCAGCCTTTCAATTATAAAAAGGATATTATCTTTTATGTGATAAATAAATTAAAAGGAAAAAAAAATCAATGAGTGAATGTAAAGGGGAAAATAAGACTAAATTTTAAGTAGTTATTAAAAAAATAGAAACAATAGCATTCAAAATGGGGAACTATTGACATCAGCAGCATTAGTATCGTCTTAAGCTGTGTCATAATCAATTACCCTTTTTGTCTGGAAAGAGAAAATGTCAACTGCATTCACATCAATTCACATAATTTCTCCTCTTCTGTGCATCGTCATTGTTTCAATGGATTTATTGGACTTTTACTGTGGCCGTCATATAATGAGGAGCGTGGCTCCTGGCAAGCTGAAGAAACTTTTGAAAATAGATTATTTCATATATATACAACATAAGAAAAAAATTATTAATCTGATCTGCTAAAACTGCAAAACCTCATTATGAGGAAAAAGTGATCAATCCCAATCTAAAAGGTTAAACCCTGCAACATAAAAAAATGTTTCGCACAGCTGACAAGTTCTAAATTAACATCTTAAGAAAAAAAAGGTAAAAAGCTAAAAAGCTAATTGAAAAGTTAAAAAGTAAAGTTAAAAATGTAATAAGCCAAGTTAAAAAAAAGTCATTGCCTGTAGTGTCAGCTTCAATGCCTCTAAAGCTAAGTTGTAATAAAACAAAAGTGTTTCGCTCCCTCTTTGCCATGAAAAATATACATATTTTTTGAATGTTACAAAGGTAATAAGATCGTGTCCTGGATTCCAATAACACTCCTGGCTTGAAATGTTGATGTTCCTAGTATTTCACTGAGTGCCCTATAAAGTTTAAGGTGTTTATTTATTCTGGACTCAACTACCGGCCCAAATTTGGACGGTAATTGAGAGCAGAATAAATAAACACCTTAAACTTTATTGAGCACAGTGTTATTGGAATCCAGGACACAATCTTATTACCTTTGTAACATTCAAAAAATATGTATATTCCAGCTGCACAAACAAAATCTAAATGGATCCTCTTGAGTTTAAAGTTTGCTTTTTTCTTTATTTTAGGGCTGCAACTAACGATTTTGCAGATCAATCTGTCGATTATTTTTTATGTTAATCAATTAATAATCAGATAGCAAAATGTTTCTTAAAGATTGTGAAATTAAACCAGGTGAAAGTAACATTTTTCCACTTGAGGATAACTTGAGGATAATATAACTTGTAGAGAGGGGAACAAGATTTTTATATTAAATGCAAAATGCTACATTTTGTTTTACAATTTTGGTATAGTTACTGATCTAATTGGGTTTCTCTGTCAGCTAAAGGCACGTTTTGGTCTCTATACTCCAGTTAACGATTAATCGATTACTAAACTAGTTGATGATTATTTAAATAATCAAATAATCACGATTGATCCGATTGTTTCATCCCAAATTTATATTAAATCATCCTCTCACCCTCTTTTACTCTGAAAAAGAATACCAATGACAGCACATTCTGTGAAAGAAACACCAAAATAAAATGGCAGTCACTTTAGCCTCCAGATCAAAGCAATGGATTCATTGTCTAAGAATTGATCATTTTAAAACCTTTACAATTTATCTTAATGTAAGAATTAAATCCTGTAATGTACATCCTCTATTACTTAAAAAAAAATATTCCTTCCAATTAAGTCATGTTAACATAGTAAAGTTATTATCCATTACTTATGTTAAATAAATTTGCATATTTAATCCAGATTGGTTTAGGATATAATATAATTAGGATACTTCTCAAATAATTTTCAGTATTTAAAATGGAAATTCAATGGAAACATCAGATTAAATCTATTTGTCATCTAAGTTATTTTGCTTTACAGACCTATCAATTTATTTAGCCAAAAAATTATAAATTTGAACCATGATAAATATGCGTATTCCCTCGTCTGAGCAGTCTCCTGACATCAGAGAATATGCATGAAAACAATCATTAGTGTAAGGAAGCATTTTCAAAAAAAATTAAGTTATTCATCTTTACTACATGAAGAAAAAGCCTTTTCAGAAACCTTTTCCCCCCTTTTTAATCTCATTTTTTCCCTTTTAATCTAATTTTAGGTTAATTCCTCCAGTTTGTTCACACATTTTAAGATCTTTAATTTCACTTTACTATTTAGTTACTTTAATAACTTAGTGATGTGATCGTAAATTGATTTTTCCGATATCTGTGATCAGATGCCAGGGATGCACAGACCTATTCTTCTCATTGTCAGCAAAACCCTTTCTCCAGCTGTTATAGATTAGCTTTTCTTTTCTGTTAAAACTGTAGCAGCACTTTCAGAGGTCAATCTCTACAGACTTTTTGTGTCCAAAAAAAGATACTTGCTAACTTTAAATGACCACGTTGGACGTGAAAAGAGCCAAATTATATCTACTTACTTTTCCCACTCACTGTCAAAAGCCATGGATAACAGAAGAAATACACCTGATAGTAAAAAACTTTGTAAGACCACTATTCCTTCAATTATTGCATTAAATGGTTGTATAATAAATCTGTCATTAGCTCCCACGGAACAACTGCCCAAAACAGAGTCCAAATTCTAACTCCACTCTGACCCTTTTATGTGCTGGAGGAGATCCATCATCAATGCAATCCACCGGTAAAACCTATGAATGCAGCTCTGGCTAGAAATCAATGACACGCTGCATACTGTAATTGTTTAGAAACAATGCCGACATGAAAGCATGCCAAAATCTGACAAAGATCCAGCCCAACTAAATATTAGAGGCTTTCAAATTTCCTGGCTGGGCTGAGCAGATGCAGATTGTGATGAAAAACGATGCAAAGACCCAAAGTAGAGGATTTCAAAAATCTGCTAAAACACAAAGCAAGGAAAAATGTAGACATTGATTCTCCAGGATGGAAAACTTGTCTGGGAAGCTGATAGAGCTGGTCAGAGGATTATAATCCCAGAGCTGTTAAAAGACCCGCTTGGTTAAACTAGGTTGAGATCTGGAGACTAAAGGGCACAAAATAGTTTTAATCAACAATGACCTTTAAATGCCAGAAGAAGGCCTATTATCTCACTGCAGGAGCTCTGGGTTTTCCTTTCCTTTTATTGCTAAAGATGATCAATCTTCACCGTGGAAATCGACAAAAACAAAACCTGTCAACATGATGTACTTTTATTATGATTCCCCCAGAGAACAATTAGTCCTTCAACAGAAAAATCAGGACATAAATGGGAGATTTTTTTATTCATATTTTACTGTTCAGATGTGGCTGTGCTAACAGCGCAATGCACATGATCATCACAGGGTGCAAACCAGTGAACACTCATAGTTGAAGGAGCTGCTGAGGTTCAACAGCTAAAAAAATCCCCTCTATTGGTTCTGCTATAACTGCAGAGTGAGTGTTATCAAATTCATTTATGCATTTATTTTTTGTTTTATTTTTATTTTTACACATGAACATTTTCCCCTGAAAAAGGGGGAAAAATACAGTACAGACCAAAAGTTCTCATCAAGAGAATGCCAAGAGTGTGCGAAGCAGTAATCAAAGCAAAAGGGCTACTTTAAAGTACTTAGAATATAAGACATATTTTTCAGTTCTTTCACACTTTTTTGTTGAGTTTATAATTCCAAATGTTTTAATTCATAGTTTTGATGCCTTCAGTGGGAATCTACAAATTTCATAGTCATAAAAATAAACTCTTTGAATCAGGTGTGTCCAAACTTTTGGTCTGCACCGTACTTCTAGTCACATTTGTTCATTTGCTTAACTTTAGGTAAATTAACAAAGCACTAGGCCACCACCTGACAATAAAAGCTTAAAAAGGGGAAAGAAAAGAAAAATTGCTTGTAGAAAAAATTACAACAAATCATCATCCCACTGTAATGAAGGTAGTTTTTAAGCTTCACGCACTCAGAAGTAAATGATACGAGTCAATAACAGTGGATTCTCCAAATTCTAAGAAACTAGCAGTTAGTGCTCTGTCTGACTAAAAGGTCAACACCTTTCGTTTTCACACTAGAAATGTAACACCTTACATCCTGATGACAACATGAACAGGAAGACAAATGTGCTTTCTATTTAGACTTCTTCTCTAATCAGAGTTTTACAGCAGAATCTTGAGTGGCTCAAAAGAAGAGAAAGTAAATCAAAAGTTTTTTGGTTTCTCAAAGTTTTACAGCCTGTTACAACACGTTAATCACAAACTATGACAACTTCTCATTCTAAAACGCATCCAAAACCCAATCTTTATTTGGCTGGTCATAAGCAAATACCAGTACGGGATGCAATACAGAAATCAATCTTCAAACTGATAATATTATCAAAGATCAAGATGACACGGTTCTGTGTTAATGCAAGTTTCATTTTGATTCAATTTTATTATTGGAGTTTTTGCTAAAACAAAAAAAAATTACACAGTATGAGTAAAACAGAAAGTGAACAAAGTGAGCACTGCCATGCTTAGCGCCACCTTATTCTAAAACATTTTAGTGTTCAAGATAAAAACAAATTGTTTCAGTTATCTGCTCAGAAAAGTTGCTAAAAAATTTTTTTTGAAAAAGTCCTAATTTTTTATAATTTTTTTTTACTTAACGACAATTTTCACAAATACAAACAAGGTGTTACAGCTCTTCGCTTGACTGATTCGTCATATTCTATAGCTTCTTATTACATGATTACAGACAAATTTAGTGTTAATGTGGTGTCTTTTTGGATTATTTTACTTTAATAAAAGTCCTGTTAGGCTTTGACGTCCGTAACTCAGTCGTCTGTAAATAGGTTTAAAAAGCGTGTAAGTAGAATCGGCAGCTTTAGCTGACAGTTTCTTTGTGGTTTCTCTAGTTCTCACTAAACTAAACCTTTAAACGTGTTCTGGATGAGAAAATATAGTAATTAAATGATTTAAATGCAGATATCAGAATCGGATCTTTACCCAGATATTCTAATGTTAGCAGCAGATAAAATCTATCCTAATTTGGCTCCTGCTGTTTATGCTCATGGTAAAGCTTTGCTCTGCAAGACAAAGAAAAAGAACTCAAATCAGCTGAAATCCTTTAAAAAAATTGGATTTTGGATTACAACTGCTTAATTTTTAATGCCAATGTTACTAAAATAAAGATCCAGGTTGTTCAAAAAGTCTCAGTGAATAACAGCAATGATCACCTTTAGAGAGCCAATAGTCCCACATATAAAGAGTTACACATATGCTACAACTTAGAGCTTGATTACAGTAAAAGTACAATTAAAGAAAATCTAGCATGGTCCCTGTGGCATTTATAGTTCATTAGTTTCCTGGCTTCACTAAAGCTCAGAGGTAAATCTGAACAAGTGTTCTGCTTTGCTCATTCTTAAGTCTAGTAATGGGCCTGCCTATTAACTAATGAGCTGGTCTGAAGCACTAAAGGGCCAGTGATTTTTAAAGTCCAAACTAAAGCAGGTCAGTCTAGCAAATAAAATAGATTAAGCTCATTCCAATAAAGTCAGTCACTTGATTTGAAGCTTTGTAAAATCTTCCTATGTTTAAATTAGTATTCTGTACGACTGTCTGAAAAGGTTTAAAGAGGTGATGTATAATAATACCTACCAGAGATAACATTTAAAACATGTACTTTTTAAAACCTTTATAACCATAAAAATACAGAAAGAAAATATTTGAAAACCATCCAGGCAGCATTCAGAGAAAACCTTGATACTGAAAGAGAAACGTCCAGATTATATGGCGCTTTAGATAAACATAAGGGCAAATGGTTCTCCTTCCTGCCTGCATGCTGGGGAAGAAAGGCAGCTTTATGGGAGCAGACAGAGTTGGGCTTTCAGCAGAACAGACAGCTACAGTCTCTCTCTCATAAGCTTACAGCGTTTCAGGCTCTCGCACAGGTTGTTTGCACATACATCAGCTCCAACGGCACTATAAAGCCTGCAAGCAAATACTTAATCACACGAATGTAGAAAAACACCCATAGAAATGTTCTCCTTCTAAATTTGACCAGCTGAATGGAAGTCACAACGGCCTGGTGGCCCTGGATGAGAGCTGAGGTGTGTTTATGGGAGCTGGGTAAAGATGGTGCCTCCATACAGAGGAAAACCTGAATGAGAAACATCTCTGATGAGCTCTGGAACCTAAGATGGAATTTTTGCTATGAGGAGCTGCAGAGATGCACACAAGGAATAAACAACCTTTCTCAAAGAATTCTGTCATTTCTCAGCAGCATTAGAAAGTCATGGTGTTTGTATTGTAATCTCATCTGTCAAACCTTTTCCTCCCAGGCCTGTGTGGGTCCAAACAAGCTATTTTTAGTAGGATTACATTTCCAGACCTAAGATCATCCCCCGTCGCTGCTAGATAGGACGCCAGCATAGTTACAAAGTACATGTGCTTTATCTTTAGCTAAAACTCCACCTCTTTTTTTTTTTTAACCAAATTCTAATCTTCTCTTCCTATCATCGGCAATCCTGCTGAGCCTCCATTAAAAAGGCTTCATGGGCCAGCAGCCAACAAACAGCAGATTACTGCAAATCAGAAATTAAAGGGAAGAAGGCGGGGCAGGCGGTGAGGGTGAGGGGGGGAGACAAGTAGGGACCTTTCTGAGCCAAGAGATTTGCTGTTTCATTAATGCTGATGAACTTAATTCAATCCAATTCTCTGCAGGGCCCCATGGTGGTGATAAACAAAGCCTCATGTCATCTTGAGACAACACTGCAATAATTATGGTTTGTTTGTTTTTTGGTTTTACAAGCAACACCTTTATAACAGAGCAAATTTACTCTGACTATAGAAGAGTGTCGACGGTGCTGTGATGTTTTAGTGATGCAAGGATTGAGATTTTTATAGGAAATAAAACTGAAGCTTGTGAGATCATATCTCAGTAAATTAGAAAGGCATCAATGCATTTCTAAGACCTATATATAGGCCGTTTCTTAATATGTGTACTTGTGCGCTCCTATGTGCTTGTGTATTCGTAAAATAATCATCAGCCTCAATCCTAGTGCTGTTCCAATTCACAAGAACAGCAGACAGAGAAAGGACAAAGTCCCCGGATGTTGCTCCCCGCCCTATTTACAGAGTATGCATCAGAAAAGACTTGTCCTTTCTTGAGATTGACAGCTGTCCCAGCTGTCCCAGCATGCACTGCGGTGGCAGCTTCCAATGGAGCGCTCAAAGAGCTCAGGTTATTAAATGAAAAGTTCCCTTTTCTGTTGCTTTTGTTCAATAAAAGTATGTTTAAGGATGACTTGAGGCAAGAACATTATACTTTTAAGCGTCACTATATGGTCCATCATTTACTGATTTATTTTGTAATAAAAAATTATAAAAAAAATTCCGAAGTTGAGAGGGTAACAGCAGCGAGCGCTAATCGTAGCCCCTCTGCAGCAGCGCTCTCTCGGCCCAGCTGTGTGTGAACGACCGTTGGATCTGATGGTGATTTTTTTGTTTTATTTGGCAAAATGTACATTTGATTTGTCTGGTTTATCTGATTATATTAACTAATATTCCCCCAACAAATTAAAGAAGTAAGAATTTATTATTATCTGGAGACTATTAATAACAGGAGGTGAAATGCTGTTCCAGACTAGCTTTGAATGTGGTGACTGTGACGTCACGAGTACGCCTCTGTTGAATCTGACCCATATTTATGCTGTGTGCTCCCGTTCTCCCCAAGTCCACACTGTGTTCTTCTCTAGAACATACTTGGCGAGGACACGAGTCCGTATTTGTGTTCATGTGAATTGAGAAACAGCCATAAATTCATCAATCTCACATCAGTATATTAAATTTGTGGTTGTTTTTTTTTTTTTTTTACAACATGGCTGCCACTGCCAGCTATCAAAAACAAACAAACATCAAAGTGACAATTATAGAATGACAAAGGACAAATATAATATGATTTTTACATATTTACATTAATTTAACCTTAATTTCATCACATTTGGTTATACGCTTGCTGTGGCTTTTAGAATGATGGGTTGAAGGTCCCTGCCAAAGAAGCTGGCTGTTCACACATTGCAACTTGTAGTTCATTGTGAATCTTCCAGCAGATGAGGATGATTTTGAGTCACGTCAACTGCAGTTTTTATGGTTTATTATGATTAGATTTCACAGATATTAACACATGTAGTGTCAAATTCCATGATAAAATAATTAATTATTTTAACTGAATTTTTAGCAGTGAATACCAGGCTATGTGCTTTTAGTTCTAGTTATTTTAGTTATGAGAGGCAGAAATGTGGTAAATGCTGAAAATAAATAGTAGTTTCCTCTGAACAGAAACATTTATGAAAAAGTATGGAGGTTAGGGAAATAAAAGTACTAGAGAATGGAAGAAACTGTATAAAGAGCTACCTGTTGTCATTAAGCTGTGTGTACCGGGGCGTAGGATCAGGATCCGCATCATTCACATCATAACTAGCGTCTGGGTCCTTTAAAGAGACAGAGGAATAGTTGGTGTCAGATTCATTAACGTCCATTAATTATTCTTTAATTCATATATTAGGTAGCAGGTCCTTTGTAATCTGCACCGTCTCAGTGGATGCCAGGTATACTCACGTAGTTCTGCGACAGGTCAGGATGGTTCTTCTCTATTCCGTCATCCAGGATGGACACCACCACGCCTTTTCCTGTGAAGCCCAGCTCCCACGCAGCTTTGGCATTCAAGTCCCGATGGTTGTTGTTGTACTGAGAATATGACAGTAAATATATCAGAATTAAAGTAATCACGAGGGAGAGAAAAATACATGAGAAGAATTTTAATCATCTTTAAATTTGCTTCTTTTTCTACATTAAAAAATACCAATGAAGCATGGTTGGTCTAACTAGCATGCAGTCTGTCTGTTCTACTCTTTCTTATAACTATTTAGCAAAGGGAAGTAATACCCAACACAGCTTGCAATCTGACATTTATCCTGACCTTTTATCAAAAGTCAGATCAGGACTCCAAAGGTTCAAAGCTCCTCCTCTCAGAGTTCACCATTAAAAAGTAATGGTGGGATGTGTCATCCTGAGCTCTTCTCTCCTAGATTTCAGTACTGTACCATATGAGCCTCGGTCGATCAGACAGAATTAAATTACTCTACAACCTTGTAAGAACCTTGACACCCCAATCACTGAGAAGTAAAATCAATTAAAACTGAAAGATGTGATTTGCAATGCAGAGGAAGTCTGTAAAAAATGCTGTTTTATGGCTGACATGTTCCATTCTCAGTGGTGTCCATCAAGGAGGAGATCTGCTTAACATTTTCAGCAAGCTAAAGAAAATATTCAGTTTCAGGTTTTAATCTGTGGAACATTCTCCTCATAAAAACAAATCAAACTAAAATGAAACACATTCTTTCAGGATGTTCAACCTTCGTTCAAGCCCATCAACTAAACATAAAAAAAGAAGAACTGTCTCTAATGAAATCATCTGAAGCCAGGAAAATGTTTGATGAGAAGAGACGTCACAATGCAGAATAAGCAGCTTCCACATTGATATATTACCCTTCAAATTGAGGGTAAACTTTTAACCAGCTGCATAACTTTAATCCCCTTTTCTTCTAAAACCGTTCAGTTGTTTTGCTCTTTCACCTCTCCACCCCTCGCTGGTATCAGACAAAATTAGCATGTTCTTGCTGAATTCATGCCATAAAACTGCAGTGACTTCTAACATTTCTCTTAACCAATAAAAAAAGATAACATACTTTCAAAAAAGCATGTAAGCAAAGAGGAGAACCTTCCACCTCAGCAATGGGTAACTGCAGCTCCTCCAGAGTTCCACTGCTCCTCTTGTTGTCTAATTAGAGCTCTCTTTCACCCTGTCAGCTTAGATAGATAAATATATCTAAGCATCTGTAACTGCAGGTTCCCAATTGTGTTTTAATCTCGACATTTTTGGATCATTAACTGCGCAAACTTTTAAAAGAACTTCTACTAGTGGGATAAAGGAATATCGTTTATTGATCTTTATTCATTAATAACAAGAAAAGGGGACCATATATATATTTTCAATTCCCTTAACTATTATTCCTAATTAGAAGAATCAATAAAACAGATCAGACGTGTTTTTTTTTTTTTCAAAACCCTGAATAAACCAAATTTCAAACTAATGAAAATTCTATGTGATTAGCCGTATTAGAAAACACTGAAAGTGATATTACATTTCAGGTAGAGCTTTCCCAGTTTGCGTCAGGATATAACTTTAGTGTCAACTACTGTGATCTTCCCAGGATAGCTAACAAGTACTAATTCTACAGGCAGCTGTGGTCTTTAACTTGTTTTCTTGTCAAAGTACTACTAACTATATGGTCTGCTCCTGCAGTGTGTGATTCAAGTCTGTTTTGCATCACCATGAATCTTCTTCTGCCTGCAGCAACTTCACAGTAATTGAAGAGCGAAGCTGAGCTGAAAGTCTCAGGAGTTGTTACCGCCGCTTTTAACGGTCCAATGTATCAGTGGCATTCCAAATGTGAAAATCAATCCAATAAAAACAAGACCACTTCAAGATAAATTACCCCCCCATCTCACTCTGTTGCTGAGCTTTTTATGCACTTCTGCAGGCCATGAGATTCTCAAAGAAGTAGATTGGAATTTGGAGACTTTCTGTTTTTACACTGCTGCTGGGGCAGATTATTTTAATTTTTTTATTCAGGTGTTTGTCATATGGTTGATACTCACCAGGTACCACTGGTCTCTAAACTTGGGGTCTACAAACTCTGTAGCAGTATCCCTCTTCTTCCTCTGTTTGGACACCTGCTGCTCTGCCCAAGTTACCTAAACAAAGGGCAATCAACAAGAAAAAAACAACTGGTTAATTTTTAGCACATGAAAATAAAAAAGTACAAATAGCCTCACTTATGCCATTTAAAGGAGAAAGAAATTGATTGTAATTATGTGCTTCCAATGAGTGCCAACATGCCAAAAACAAAATAACTAAGATCCCAACTCTCCCCGGGATGGCAGCTGACAGAGAGAAATTAGAGCCAGCAGGGCATGCTGGACTCCCCACTAATGGGGCTCGCTGATGAATTCCAGAGCAGGCCAAGACTAATTAAAATTTCTGGTTTGTATAAAATGTGATGCAACTATTGTGAAAATGCGTACACCTGAACATGAATGCACATTAGGGAGGCATTTCAGCCGCACTACACAAAAATGTTCAGCGAGGCGTCATTATGCGGAGACACTGGTAGAGATACCTGGCAGAGGGCATAAAGAGAAGATGTTTCTGAATATTCCTCCCTGCTCTGAATTATAGTGGCAGACACTTGGGTTGGGAAGACGCATTGGACATGAAAATAGGAAGAAAAAAAATCAAAGAGGGAGAACGGAGAAGTGTCTGCTGCAAGGACGCGGTACCTTATGTGAAGGACGACGACACGCAAGATCTCCCTGCTCTCACATGGATGGTGAAATGATGAGATTTAAGTAAAACAATGAAGGATAGATTAATTGTACTCATGTCTCCTCAAATGTTTGAGAGGCCTGGGTTCTGGTTCAATCAATTAAACAAGAAGTTTTTATCTAAAAGCAGAGATCAGGTCAGCAGGGAGAGGCCTAGGAGTTTACATAATACATAAGAGTCATGTTCTTGCTGAATTCATGCTATTAGGGAGCAACATAATCATTAAAAGCTTGTCTCTTATTACTATGTAGTAAATATTTACAGAGCACCTGCACACAAAAGGACAATCTTTAATCAAACAAAAAGCTTTCATTGGATAAAAAAAAAACCTGCAGCATATTTTCCTTTCTTTCATATTTCATAACCTTTAGAATACGATTTTTTTATCCAAATAGGAAGAACTGTAAGGGAAACTAAAATCTACTAAAAATATAAATATAAAAAATAGGTATATATCGAACGGCTGGAAAAGCCAGATGTTTGCAGCTTTAATCTTAAGTAGGACAAAAAGGAGAGGACGCCGCTACTGTGTTATACCCTTAGTAAAACAACAATAATACAAAAGAGACTATTTTGAATCTTAAGACAACTTACTAGAAATGTTTAATATAACTTAAAAATGTCCCTGAGGCATTTAAAAACTGCTCTTACAAACGTTTAGTTCTATTGGCTTTTTGCTTCAGACAAAATACATCTAACACAGAAAAACACTGCAGTTCAGATTTTAAATACAATACTACTGTGACCTTTAAAGAAGAAATAAGGTATGACATCTAAGCAGGCATTCCTCTAATAGTGAATAAACATAAACATTTAATTTTTGTTGCCGTTAATGAATCAGCTAAGCAGAGGCCTCGCTAAAACTGACTTCTCAGTCATGAATCTCTGAAGCTCCGACTCACACCTCGACTTTCCCAAGAAACCAACTGAATTCTGATCAAGGCATTAGGACAGGGAGTGATACTGGAGATGCTACTGGAACATTTTGCCTCTCTGTTCAGATTAATTATAGCTTTCAAATGCCAATTTTAAAAAGAATACTGTTTAATAAAAAGAGCTCAACTGTTAGAAGAGTGCAGTCACCTCCGAGCTGACTCAATTCCATTTGTTTTGCAATCGGATTAAAACCAGTGCTTCTTTGTTGCTGAAACATCAAGATGAGGGTGTGATTTCCCCGCTTTTCGTTTACTTAACACATTTTTTTTTTTTTCTAAATCGAATGCAACACTTTGGTTTCACACGTACGCAGGGAAAGGCTGCTGTGTGGGGGGGGGAACATTTCCAAACTAACCTACATGCACAGATTCATATGTGTAAAGTGTAAATTATGGCGCAAAAACCACGTCATGTTCCCATGTTACCTGCGTATTATGCACCTTTTTAGAATCATCCCTCCAGTTTTTTTGTTTTTTTTTTAAGCACATGTAATTTTGCAACTTTCGGTCCACTTTAAAAAGCGCTGCTGCAAACGTGTAAATAACACTATAAACCCGTGTAAATCCCCCCTTTGACTGTGGAATGTCTTCTCCAACACCTAGCCAGGAAATGGTAAAGCTGTTATACCAAGACAAACAGGAAACACTGGTTTAACAAGAAGGCATCTCAAGCTGGAAAAACATTTACAGTAAATGCATGACAATTTAAAAGGTCTTTAATCAACCTCTTTGGGTTTTTGGTCATTTAGGTCTTAGTTTGTTGTGATGCGACTTAAGATTAACATGTTAGTCCAAGTCAGAAAGACTTTACAGCCAAAGCGAGCTCAGCAGAGAAGAATTGATATAACTGTATACCAAAATCAGGACTCTATTACATATTATGTACCTTTAATTTAGAACAGGGGGTCTGCAACCTGCAGCTCCGCAAACACATTCGGCTCTTTGGACCCTCTACAATGGCTCTTACTTGTGGCTAAAAATTGTATAAAGATCTAACTAATGCACTATAATAACAAATACGAGTCTTAGAAGCTTTAGAGTTGCTTTAAATAAATAAATAAAATAAAATATTTAAAATAATAGAGAATATCTTACTTTAATTTTCACAACAAAATGAAATCAAAAGAACCAGAAATATGTTTTTACAGCTATTTTACTTTTATTTAGCTTGGAGATTATGTGTTTATCATCATTATTTTCTTTTTACTTCAAATATTACCCTATAGAAGAAAATTCAGGGTTAATCTTTATGCACTGTTTAATATTTTTCCTTATTTTAAAAGTTAAAATTACAAATAAACCATTAGCTGTTAAAGATGGCAACATATTTCCTTTGGCATAGATTTAACTAAACTAAAAAAGTTTGTGTTTTATTAGAAAGTGTGGCTCTAAATAACGTTTACGGGGCCAGACTTGGGGCAAAATTGTGCTTTAGACATGAAAGATTACACACAAAATAAAGAATGGTTCAACTGATTTTAAAAGAAAGTGACAAAACTCTGAACCTCAAACATGATTAGCAAAAATCCATATCGAGGTATAGAATAAAAATCCCATGGAAAGGTTCAAAATGTCTTCCTTATGACACGTTCAGGAGTAAGATCACTTTCCCTGCGGCGAATAAAATCCCCATATACTCAATCTGTCCTTCTAACTCAACAAGCAAAATGCAACTTACACCGAAACTACAACCATCTGATAACACATCTGTACTATAAAGTTATAATGAGCTTGTTTAGGGGGTGCAAATATGCTTAAAAATCTGTGGGGGGAGAAAGAAGCAAACTCCCCAAACAATAGCAAAATAACTTTTGGGTAATTAATTAAGGCTGGAGCTTCTACCGTCCCTTATGTCTTTTTATAGCTCCTCTAAACAACGGCACTCACTGAAGCAAAGAACTGTTTGAAAAAACATCAGAACTAGAATATAAGGGAAAATAGAAGTATCAATGGATAGAATAGATTAGACTCTAAACCCCAAATTAGTTGAATTGTTGGTTTATGAAGCCTGGCAGATGTCCATGTACTTTTGTAAGAATTTAATTAAACTGAATTGAGTGAAATGTTCAGGCTTCATCTCAGCCAGTTTCAAAGCAGCAGATTTAAAAGCAATCAATTTTAACCATTTTATTTAAAAGAAAAAAACAAAAATATGTAGCTCAGAAAACTGTGAGCACGATTTGATCTAATCTCCTGGTTCACTAGCTTTGATTCCATTGTTAATTACAGAAAAGTTTAAATATTGATGTTTATGTGTGGGACGGAGCCAAAGGACGGGTAAGAATTGTGAGTAAAGCAACATTGGGAAAGCTCTCCCTATTAGACCAGAATGAAAACAAATTAAAACCTCATCTCTAACTTTAACAGACAGAGGGAGCTGAATCTGTAACGGTCCACTTTGTGTGAGGGGCCGTGGGACAAAAGGAATTCACTGACAGGAAATGGAGCTGCGACGTTAAAGGAAATCCCAGAGAGGGAGGTGGGCTGCTTCGAGCGTGTAAACAGGCTCTGCAGAGGCTGCAGGTCTATTCCCGTTCACCACCTGTGCAGCGCAGATAAACCCAATCAGAGGTTTAAGCTGTATGCGCTAATGTAGAAATCGATGAGAGTAATCTTCAGTCCCTGCCTCCAATGAGAAAAGTGAACTTAGTTTGAATATAAAATCTTTACAAATTTAAAGCAATGACCTTCTAGAAGCAATAGCCTCAGTGTAGTTTGCTCATTCTGAGCTGAAGTCAAATGAACACGATTAGTGATGCAAATCAAGCACATGCTTCCTTTTCCAAAACGCTGGCTCTGACTGCAACATGTAAAAAGTACGCCTGAAAACATTGATTCAATTTACTCCCAACGTAGCACAATTATCCCCAAGTAACCTATGGACATGAAGCCATTGCTTCCCATAAATATTTATAGACCAACAGACTATAAAGAGTGCAACTATGGCTATCCTGTGTATTTTTCAAAAAAGGTGAATGCTCTCAGTCTTTACATTTGTTTAACGTTCTAGTGTCCTGCAGGTATCTGAAAGTGACAGGCAGAGAATTTGTTCAGGATGAACTGAGTCCACAATGCTTTTTTTAAACAGTAAATGGAAAACATAAAAAAATTAAATAAATAATCGAAAAAATAAAAACAGAACAGCAAGAGGCTCTTTAAAGCAGCATGGCGGCATCACTGGTGCAGCAGTTCTTCTATTAGGGAAAATTTATGTATATTTTTAAATCACCCTTTGCAGCAGGAATAATTTGAGAATTAATGCATCAAAGGAAACTCTCTGGAGGTAGAGCAGGTTGCTCACTAATTGGGGGCTTTAACTTCAGTTCCTCCTTTCAATGAAACCCTCAGGCAAGACACTGAGCCTAAAATCATCTTGATAGTTAGGCAAGCATTTTGCTTAAGATCCTGCTGCAAATCAGTGCTTTGGTATTGATGTGGGAAAAGTGTGCAATACGTGTGGAAAAAAATTAAATAAAATACGGGCCGCAACTACTTTGATCCCTTCTGTAATTTATCTCCTGAATTTCTTGCTGTTACTACTCAAGTTTCCACACTTTATTATCTAGAATAACGCTTCTTTAATGTGGCAACAGATTCAACTTTGATGGAGATTCTTTAGCTGTGAATAGGCGCTTTAAAGATTAAGTGATTTTTGGTACAGGGTCAATGTTCAATGTACCCATTTTCCCAAACCATATATCTGTGAAACACACAGGGTGAGTACAGTATTTCCAAGGTAACATTGACAGCTTGTTACATCTGCAATGCAGTGAGAGAAGCCAGCTCAGCTCAAAAGAAAACCACTTTCAAGTAGTAGATCACAATTTTCCCTTAAAAAGGGGTTAAAGAATCCATAGTGAAAGTGATTGCTCAGAAAATTAAACAATGTTTTCAATGTAGACTCCATTTGATCTCACGTTTAGGAATGAGGCATCCTTAACTGCAATGACAAGTGTTAACTGGAAGAGGTCTTAAAAGTGAGTAACAGCGACTGAAAGTGCCTCTGAGCTGGAGAATAAACTCGTCAATAGTCTGCATTAAAACGTTTCCTTTCAGCTCTTCTTAAGGCTAGGATGATAAGATTTTAATTAGAATTCAGAAGCCATTTTTTTTCTTAAATAGATTGACTGACAGTATTTTTCTTTCTAAAGTGAAGGCTCAAACACTATCTGTCAAGCTGCAGTTGTCTTTGTGTCTTAAAAAGCATTTTCCCAGAAGCATCCAGAATAAAAAAAAGAAAAAAACTCACACACACATTCAGAGCTAACCCCCAAAGATAAAGCTCTTACCTTAGGATCTCTTTGCAGACGGACTTGTGTCCCTCTGTGATCCGACAGGGATCTCTTAACCACTCTGCGATGCCGGAAGTGATAGTAATCACCAAATACCTGGAAACACAAAGAGATATGATCAGATCCATCTGCCTATAATCAGATAACACCTCTACTTTTTCTTATGACCCCAGTCAGAAGAGATCTTTCCTGCTCCAATAGTTTTGCCTTTAAATGACAAATATTTCTATAGACATCAAAACGTGGTAAAATTCAGGGTGGCATGCAGTGTTGTAGTCAAAGATGTCAACAATACAATATAAATATCTACTTTCATCTGAGCTGGCACACAGTATTTTATCCCTTTAACGTTTTGTTTTTACTCAAATTATTCTAAGCTACATACATATTTGTCTCCTCAAATAAACCTTTGCTTTTGAATTTTAAGTTCCTTGGTTAAGTTTGTTTTGCCTTCAAACACAGGGATCGCTAACACGCCGCTGTCTAAAGCAAATATATGAATACATTTTATCTGGAAAGCTCAGCTCATTCCCCAACAATCCCTTCCTCCCCACATGGTGCCACTCCAGTTTGCAGGGCAGCATTCCCTTAGTCTAAAAGAGGAACAGCTCAACCCTCATCATCCTCCCTGCTCCCATTTAACCACAGTAAACACGCTGATTCCAGCTGGGGTGACACAGAAAACCCCTGCACACAAACATGCTGGACAATAAGGAAGTAGCAGCCAAGGAAACAGAGACACTGACGTTTGAATGGGACTGCCCAATGAAACAAGCCTGTGTTTCTGAAAAAGAGTGTGATCCTTTGTGTGAAAAACCATTAAATAGCAATACTAAAGTTAAATGCTGGACTTAGATTTATATAACATATATTACATATATATAAAGGGGAAAAGATGCTCAGACTGAGAGCCAATAGCTGCTCCAACTGCCTGCTTTGTATCAAAGAGCAAATAATAAAACAAACAGAGGGCTTCTATAAGTTCCTACTTGAGTAGACTATACTGGAAACATACATTTTAAACCTGTTCAAAAACAAACTGTTAGAGGTATGCTCAATTCAGTGGCCATGTGCCCTCATGCAAGTCACACCACCATTTTGAAACCAGTAATTGAAAGTTGCACCATTACCTCCTGAGCTTGCTGCCCAGGAATTAAGGTCTGTGACTGATTCACACATCATTCTATGATCTATCCTCACAGTCACAGCATAGAAATCTTCCAGTTGACTCAGTTACACCCCATGATGGTCATAGAGCCACAATGATGAGTTGCCAAATGGCACTGCTGAAGAAGTGTGAATCATTTTTTCAATGCAAAGCAAACTCACTAAAAAGCAGAGGATGAAAAATCAACTTGGCTTGTAATGAAGGAATTAAATGTATTTTGACATCCTGCAAAAGGTTTCTCGTAGAGTTTAGTCATAAGCCACACCCTTTTGGTTCTGCAATCCCATCTGCCTGCTCAGTGAACACACTGTCCGTGTTTACCTGTAGCCTTTAGCAATAGTTCAGACATGTAACAGTATAAGGTTAATTTTAACATTTTCCTCTTTTTTTTGCAGGACCTATGTGGTACAAGTGGCCTCTATTTATAAATATTAGAAAGCAATTAGGCAGAGACAGAAGTTAGGAAGACACACAGAGAAGGTTGGAGATGTGGATTCAACCTGAAACGGACACTCCAAGGACCCAGTTTGTGCACAAGGGCTTCCCACTGAACTGAAATACCATGTGCTAACCCCAACATTAGGTTTCTTTATTGCGCCATTCACGACCTTACTTAGGATATTTCCACCGAGGTGGTACTGGTGTTTTAAAAGGCCTGGTTTTAGAGACAGATCTCTGCAAAGCGCAGTAGAACATCACAGCAGGATATTTTTAACTCTAAAAGGCAATTCTGAAAGGCTGGAAGAGTTTAAGAACAGAGCACTTATGGATCCAGCAGAAGAAAGTATCTCTGATTGCTACTTCATTGTTCAAATCGGCTTATTTAATCTATTACAGGTGATACATGAATTAAATTGGACCTATAATACTTCCTTTAAACATCTAGGAGGATTTACGGCCTGTACAAAACATCTTCATTGTATATTTAGCACAAGATCCCTCTCAGATAATGACTGATTACACCAACTCTGTTCTGCCAGTTTTGAGCTTCTTTAAGAATTTGCTGTTTTGGGCTCAGTCACCACAGTCACACTTTAAACATGTAGAAGAAGACTGCATACAGATAAACATTGGTACAGCTTTATATTTTTGACCATGTTTTTTGTTTTCCAAGAGATTTTCAGTGCAAAAATTTGCATTACATGAAGAGCCAGTTGTTTACATTTTCTGCTGTATTTCAATGCAAGTAAATTATATGCATGTTAAGCTTGACCCTGCTTAAAAACTATAGATCTAGTTGCTCAAATCTAAAGATTTAGTAGTCAAATTTATCTATACATCCCTTGTTTTCTCTGCTTATATTGGCAGAAAAAGATTACGGTGCAAAAGGCGAAATATCAATCCCTTTCATTTCTAACTGTTTTGGCCTACAAAAGGACCAAATCAGCAATACAAGGACCTGTTCTAAGATAGTAACATGTAAATATATCTGCACATATATATGCATAGGTTAGCTTCTAATAAAACTGCTCAACTATAACAAACATATGCACAGACACTCACTAAAGTCATTCAACAATGTGAACCAGATTCAAGTCGTCTAAATGTGTGCCCTGCAGCCCTATGGTTGTATGGCAATTAACAACAACACTTTAGCAGCTCATGTTTTAGGCAATTCTAACCAAAGATCTCAACATTTCTAGGGGGGTTTAACAGCTTTCCACTGAGGAGAAAAAAAAAGCCCATTTACAACCAACACATTTAGATGGAAAACTGATGTGGAAACAGATCAAGTCCTGCGACCATTACTGATGCGATAAGCTTGGAACTGTTATAGCACAACAGGCCACTCAACATGTGGTCATTTACCAGAGTGAGGCATTAATCCATCACCATTAGAATGCAAAGAAACATGCAGTGGAAAATTACTGCCTGCTGGTTTGTTTGCATGTTTGGGTCCCCCCCTACTGCAAGATTTACCTTGTGGGAAAGCAATTATCAAAAAAGGGCCGGTGTCTTATCCCAGCTGACTATTGTTGACACAATTATGTCGTACGAAGAGCCAAACAATGTCAGAAGACAAGCTGTTGAAGGAGTTTGGGGCTGTGTTAAATTAACAGAAAACTGCTGCCCATATGGAACCGTAAACATCAAAGACAGCCAACGGATTTCACTGGAGAGCGACATCACTGCAGCTTATTTACAGACACGTCTGACATGACATTCTCCTTTTGATTTCGATACCATGTGATTTGTAGGCCTCACAGTGTGTGAAGCATCAACATATTCTGTTTGCACATCAGTGAGCCCAGATAAAAAGGGAGCACAAGTGCAGCGGCCTTCAAAAACAGTTCAGAAACTTGTTTGTGTAATGAGGCTGGAATCCAATTAGTAACTGTTCACTGTGGTGAACGGGATAGAGGGGGCACCGGTTCCCCACAGTGGAAGCTGGTCATAAAAAGCCCTTTCTTTGAAAGTCCCCTGACCTGGACTCAGACATCTGAAAATACTGTTACTCATTATTTAAACCCTCCTCAATGTTTACACTGCTTAAATCATATACATAGTTCTCAATCTCTCACTCTTTACTATATAACCTTTAGTTTTACTTGGCATTAATGGTTATGTACACACCTAGTGGGATCTTAAGCTATATCAACAATCTCTCCAACTTCTCGGTAGCCTCTTTAACCTTGACTGAACTAAACACAGCGGTAGAGCTTTTAGTACAAGTCCATGTACTGTTAGTGTAGAAGGATGAAACCGTTACCGTGTTTATATCTATGTTGTATCTATTTTTACATCACTCGTCTATTCCTCAGCTGCGTTTTTAGAGAAAATACAGATTATCATTCTTGGCACAAATTCAGTTTTTGCCTGGACGTTGAATTAGTTAATTTTAATATGGTTTGGGGGAAAAATGCATAGAACAGGACAGTGAAATATGGTGCTTTTTAGTCAGGATGACAGGTATGAAAAGATGCTGGCTTAAACATCCACAGGGGCTAGATAACAAACATGGAGTGCATTCAGTTTTAGTTATCGACTGTGTGGAGGAATAGAGATCATTAACTTTCTGGGGTCTCTCCTGGGGAGCTGACCAGGGAACTGAGAGAGTTTGATATGAAAGAAGAAGAAAAAAGCCCAGCAGCTACTTTTTTTTTTTTTTGATGTTTCAAACTGCAGCAAAAACCTCTTGAAAAGCTTTAAGCACTGTTCATTTCAGAACCTTACATGTGCAAATGCACAATGAGGCACTAGAGCTGCACTGCTGAGGGAGGAGTGGGAATCTCCAGCTGTTAGTGAAGACCACTCACTGGACATTCGTCTCCCGGCTTCCTCAACTCAAGAGTGTCTATTCTGAGCTTCATCCCAAAAAAATATCAAAGATGCCCAAAACCCCAGTGCCATTAAGGCCTGTATACAGTCTGCTCAACATAATTTCCCTTAGGGAGAAGGCGAGTGAATGACCACCTTGCTTGTGTTGGTAGTGCTGCAAAAAGAGTAAATATTTTTTTAAGGGATATATTAAATGGAAATATTTTTGGCATCACAAAAAAGGACAAGGAAAAGGAGTAAGCCTTTTGTCAACAAAGAGGAGGAAAAACAAGTAAGTTTCATGGAAGTAAACATGTGAGGAGGACAGATTTGTCCTGATCCAACGAAACATTCTAAGTTTAAAAGTAAGTTTTTTACACCAAGAGATCCTTTAAGAGAATAAAGTAACCTAAACCCAAGAGAAGAGGGCAACACAGCTAAGAAAGATACCCTTTGAACATTTTATCATATTAAAACCACAAACATTAATATATTTCATTGGAATTTTAGGAGAAAGACCAGCAAAAAGTGGTCTACAACAGTGAAGTAGAAAGAAAATGCAACTCCAAATGCGGAGAGGTTTGCTGGGTCACCTTGGGATTCAGAGATTATACTTTCCAAAGGGGATGTCTTTTCCTTTACTGCCATGTCTATCTTCTGGTCTAGCTGA